TCACCATCAGTATGTGTGTGTGAATGGATGAATGTACACTGTAGAAGATCAACCATGATCCTGACCATCATCCAGCTTTTTGTTTCCATCTTGTTTCCAAAGCGCTTTACACTGTAGTGTAAAGCGCTTTGGAGTCCTTACTCTGAGAGGTGCTCTACAAGTGCGGGTCATTTATCATTTATCCTCTTCCTAGACCTTCTCCGCCTCCCAGGTGTCCTAGACCTATTACTCATCCTACCCTTCTTGCACCTCCTCTACCTCCACCTCCTCCTCCTCCACCACCATGGTGTCCTAGACGTCCTACTCCCCACCTCTTCCTTTGCATCTCTTTGGATCCATTGTTTCAAACCTGAATGAGCTGGCTTTGGCCCTTTTATCTATCCATCAGAGTTTCTGATAGGTGTGTGTTAGATTGTGATGCCTAGTGTTTCCATTTCGTTGACTGTGTGCTAATTGAGCTCAAGCTGTGCTGAATTCAGTTAAGGTTATTGACTATAGCGCTTTCCAATTGACCACATGGTGTCAGCACTGACAAATGTTGGCATTTGTGTTTAGAGTTTTGCAGTAACAGTTCACCAAATCTAACTCATATGTTAAAGCAGGGAATAGTGTGTAGTGTGCTTTTTGAAAAATGGCATTATAGTTTTGTAATTTGAGTTCAAAAGATTGGTTGGAGTGTTTAAGCAATGGAGAAAAATTAACTGCAGATGTGCAATGTTTAAATTACGGGCCTATGTCTCTCCTCTCGTTTCTGTCTAAAATCATCGAAAGGGCAACCTTCAAGCAGATCACAGAACACCTCTCACAAAACTGTCTGCTTGACCCATACCAATCTGGGTTCAAAAATGGCCACTCCACTGAAACTGCTCTGTTAGCAGTGATAGAAGCCTTAAAAGAAGCTAGAACGACTGCCAAATCTGCAGTACTGCATTTGAAACTGTCAACCATGGCTTCCTTTTGTCCACTCTCTAGCATGAGCATCACAGGGAAAGCACACTCCTGGTTTGAATCATACCTCTCAGGACGATAATTTAGTTGATCTTGGCTTGGACAATCTTCTGCTGTTTACCATCTTGCCACAGGAGTCCCCCAAGGCTATGTACTAGGACCTCTTCTCTTTGCCAAAATACACCACCTCACTGAGTGAAATAATTTGATTGCACGGCTTCTTCTACAACTGCTATGCTGACGAGACCTAGCTCTATCCGTCATTCCCGCCGGACAACCTCACAGTCTGCACGAATCTCAGACTGTCTTTCCGACACATCAAGATGGATGAAATCTCACCATCTCCAACTCAACCTCTCTAAAACTAATTTACTTGTCATCCCAGCAAAACCATCCATACAGCACAATATCTCAATCCAAAATTATTCCCTATCTCTGGCTCCTTCAAAGGCAGTTTGAAATTTGGGTGTTGTGATTGGTGACCAGCTGACCTTTAAAGATCACATTGCCGTTGTTGCCCGTTCATACCGTTTCGTGCTGTATAGCATACAAAAGATCAGACCATACCTAACACAATATGCCACCCAGCTCCTGATGCAATCTACAGTCATCTCCCGCCTCGACTACTACAATGCCCTTCTAACTGGTCTTCCAGCCTGTACTGTGAGACCTCTGGCGACTTAACTAAATCATTCTATTCCTCTTACAGAGCACAAACACTATTCTCTATTCACACCTATGTTCACAACTGACCCTTTGCATGTGACGTCGCGCCACTCATGAGACCGCCGCCTTCGCCATGATGGACGGCAAAAAGACGTTTACACCCGTTGAAATTCAAGTGAAGGTAATCAAGCCAGTTTGAGGCCTTTTATCACTTTTATTTAGTTGATTTGACAGTAAAATGGTTTTAGCTTGCTGCGTGGTTGGCTGCACTAACAGACAAGGATGTAAACTCAACTCGTTTTTTCTTTTTAATAACTTTGATGGAGACTGAGGACGGAGATGAACTGCAGCGATCAATCAAGCGGACTAGCAGCCCTCAGATTTGCAGCGAGCATGTTTTTACCAGGTAAGATTAACGTTCTTATTTCACGAGGAAGACAGGGACAGGGATAAATGTGATGTGTTTATACTAGTTATTCATCCTGATAGATGGGTATTTCACCACGGAGGCTGCGCTCCGTCCTCTGTAGTGTAAATCGAGACAATTATTAACAATATTAAAGCTCTGATGTATGATTACGTGTGTTAAAATTACGTTATTTATTTATATGAGCGTCGGCGTTCAGAGATCTTCTCATTCTGGTGTGAGAGCAGCAGCTGAACCCGGTACACCACCAGCAACAGAAGCTGGTAGGGATCCGGACTTTTAAAAAATCAGCTTTGGTGTAAAATGAAACACTGTTTATAACATAATGTTATAAATCCAGCGGGGTGAATTTAGGCAAAGTCAGCAACATGTTTACATCGGTGAACAGCTGCAGAGAGAATGTAAGCTAACATTGGTAAGCTAGTTAACATACCGCTCTCTATGAGCCCCACTAGATGCGCTACTTCTTCTGATAACTGAACTGGGCATGAACTAGTTGAAGGAATGCTGGAGTTTTGTTTTTATTTTGATCACAAAAACAGTTTCAGGCTCTACTTTTCCCTGTTTAGTACTCGTGTCGCTCACCGTTTACATGCTTTTGCCGTCCACCATGGTGGACCCACGTGATTAGGTGACGTTGGTGCAAAGGGTCAACAGCTTGTAATGGCATACGTAGCTTAGCTCACACAGACGTTAACGCCTGCTAACACACAAATGGGGACAGTGTATCAATCAGCCCTATAAAACATCTGAAATGGTCTAAAGTAATAGCTGTATTGTTATAACCAGACTGCAAACTGTGCAGGTTTAACTTTTACTTCAGAGGAAAGATCACCATAGGGAGCCTAACGCCGGGGAAACACCGGCTGCCGAAGCGCTGCGAAATTGGGACCGCCTTTATTCGGCGCCCTTGTTATCCTATTCTGTAGACCACATGGGCTGCCGAAGCGCCGCGCTCGGTGCTCCGGCCCGCGCCATGCAGCAATCGTTTCGGCGTCTGCTCTGTTTTTTTCGCGAGCCGCGGGTGAACCGCGTCAATTCTGGCAGGAAGTCAAACCTAGACATAAAAGGCAGGCCAGTAAATTTAACAAAATAAAGCATTTCAAAATACAATTCCGCGATAGTCAAATGTGTTCGTAAACAGACACTGCATAAAAACAACACACACACACACACGTGTGTGTGTGTGACAACGTGAAGGGGGTGTGGTTTTGGGCGTCTTTCAACTGGAGCAAACAGGACAGAGGCAGAAAGTCGTAGGCCAGCTATTAACAACTGGTTCACACCATAGGTTCACACACACACACACACGTACAAACACACACACAAACAGCAAGGGGGAGGGGGTGTAGAGGAAAAGAGCAGAGAAAAGGCAGAGAGGACATGGAGGACACCAAGTGTCTTTCCTCCTGAAGGAAGGATTTGAAGTTCGCTGAACTTACAGCCATTTTCCCTCTGTTTTTCTCTGTTTCTGGTTTGATGATTTCACTTTCGTGAAGCGCATTTATAGTCCTAGACTTATTTTCAGACTAAACCTAAAATAGCATTTCCCCCCGTTCGAAAATAAGCGCGTTCTTGGTGTCAAAATGCTTCTTTAGAATCCACGGATATCATATGTGAAATCCATTGCACAAAACAAGAGGAATGAGAAAAGAGCATTTTTAGCCCCATTGACTTGCATTCATTTTTTCATTCTTCCGGGGTCCGAAAATAGATGGGTGTGACTTAGGCGCCCTATACGCCGTGCCATCTTCTCGTGCTCTCTCCTTTTGAACCCTGCTTTTTTCCAGTCAGAGAACCACTCTGCCATTTATTAGTCATTTGTTATAAACCTTTCACATTGTTTTCATGGCTCACAAATACATATGTGTAAATAAACAATTTTAGATTATTAAAAATTAAATGTTGGTCTATCTTTTATAACTACAGGAACCTGAGATACTATATCTTTTCCACAGAAAAACAGATTTGTCCCGTCAACAAAAATTTTGACTAATTCCAAAGGAAATTTGGATTTCCCAGCTTCCACCCAGCATTCAAACGCACCATGAATGCACAAATCAGTCAGGTGTGAAAATAGTCTCAAAAGTATTTTTGTACTTGTAAACTGATCTGTGTGTAATTTAGTTTTGTCCGTGTTTACCAGGTGATTTGTGAGTGTATATTCAACGATTTGTATGAGTAAGAACTGAAGTTACACACGAAAATGTACACACGTTACAAATCAAGAGTTACACACACACAAATTTAGATACACACGCACAAATCTAGACACACACGCACAGATCTTTTGAACTTTTTTCTCCCCATACTGCTCTGATCTACCTGAATCCTCTTGTAAAGGCTTACATCACGGCTCGACCACTCCGGTCGTCAAAGGATCGTCGGCTAGCAGTGCACCACGCTCAGGACAATCCGGACTCAGACTTCTAGGAATTTGAGTTACTGCAACCTACAGTTGAAATTTGTTGTGAAGCTTAATGCTACTAGCACTTATACTGGAATTAGAATAAATCAGGAATACAAACTAACAATTTAAAAAATTCAGTTACAGCCACTTACACTTCAGTTAGAATAAATATTCTCTAAAACTCACTTTTTAAGAACTTGGTTGTTTTTATTTTCCTATCTGTCTCTGTCGTGGAGTCACTGGCGCAGCCGGGCATCTACTATGCAGTTTTTCTTCAACCAATTTTAGGAAAACTTTTGTGATCCAACTTATATTATTAACCTTAATTTAATGTTTTGGAGTTGCCTTGTGAAAATTCTGGAAATTGTTCCGTTTATCGAGCTACCGATTAATTCATACTTTTTAAAGGGGGATTACTCATTTATGCTGAGCACTGTAATATACTAAGTAAAATAATTGTACTTGGGTGAATGACGGTCTAGTTTCTAGGCTAATACTTCAGACATTCGTGCTTGTTAACTAAAAATCCACAAGGAAAATAAGCACTCATTAAGTCAATATAATTTATTCAGACAATAAAAACCTCATGTGATACAAACACAATTAACCTTCTGCAGAAACACTGAAGTCACCCCCTGTTACTTTAGCTACAGTAAAAAAGAAAAACTTACTTCAGGAGAAATGCCATTTGCTTGTTTCACCGAGGCATTTTTGAAAACTGAGCTGAGCTTATTCAGACAATCAAGTCAGAGTATCAGATCTATGTTAAAAGATCGACTAACATTTAAGTTTAAAATACCAAAACAGGCTACCAGCACCTCTCAAAGTTAATATCGTACATCCTGTCAGCTCCAAAGGCCCACTGATTATTTTTTTGATCTCAACTGATTTGAAATCAGTGTTGACTTGCTACTGATGCAGTATAACGACTAAGAAATTATTCACTTGAGCAAGATGTTTTAATTCTGCCAACTAAGTTTAAGGTGAATATATATAAATCAGTAAGTTTGGTGATTTTCCTCCTAGATTCACCTTAAATAAACACTACTGGCACTCTTGTCTGTGGTAAAATAGACGGCAGGTAAAACTGCATGTTTGGATGGAATTTACCTCCAATTAATTAGAGAACACCCAAAATTTCACAAGGCAGTAAACTTCAGACTTCTTCCTACAGTGTTGTGCAACCAGACCGAGTTCATTTAGTCCACCTGGTTTGTGTTTGGAGTGTTGGGCGATAAATGATTGCCGATTCTGTACAACATCTACCTGTAACTGACCCTCTCAGCTGCACGTTTTGATAAAAGTTTGGGTTGTGCAATAAAGCAGAATGGCTTCTTTCTTTTATACATTTTTGTAAAAATTTGCAGGAACATTAGCTGCCAAAAGGGGGCAGAGTTTTGGTATTTATTTTTAATAATGAGCAGAACAGAGAAACTGATTTAACGTGTAAAGGAACGATGGAGTTCAGGGTCAAAGTGCCAATGGGCAAAACTTTATCTGGATGAAAGTTTGAGTCGGGGATTCAGTCTTTACATTCTCAGGTCCTTAAAGCAGCAGAAACCACAAATTCACAGTTTAACACATTCGCAAGGAGCTGACGGGTCCATCAGCTGCAGTCCAGGTCTGTCGATCCAGGTTAAAGTATCACAGTCCAGTTGACCTTTGTGTGTCTCTAGACTAAAAAAAAACACTCAAAAAGAAACGATGGACTTCAAAGTGCTAGTTTCTGGTGACTTCATAGAGAAGCCAAGACAGGAACTCTCCTGAAAACAGGTCAGTCAGTCAGCTCATCCTTCAGCCCGGTTCTGGTGAGCGTTGAACGATCAGATGGACAGGTCAGTGTCCGTGTCTGTCGGGGTGGTCTTTGGGCTTTCACGGCTCCCCCTCTCCTCAGGAATGGAGGAGGATTCTCCGTTCAGACTGGGCAGCAAACCTGGAACACAACAGACAACGCTCAAGGGTTGCTCCCTTCAGCGTGTGAAAAATTAAATGCCATCCTCCGTGTTTGTAGGAACCGACTCTTAAGTGCTGCTTTAGCGTGTATGAGAGTGTTGACATCTTACGGTCACTGTCGTAAACGGAACTGTCCGAGGACGTCCGGTGCCGGCGTTGAGCTGACCTTTGACCTCCACTCACATACTCCTTCAGCACACCCGACCTGGAGGAGAAAAGGCTAAAATGAGGCATCCAATCTGATTCTGTGCTGACCATCACTGATTCAGCTCCATAAATGACGAGTACGGAGCTATTTGTGTCACTGAGAGTTTAACCCTTTGATTATTTATCACAGTTGTTGTTTTTGACAAAGAAAAACACGAGTTTCTCTGCTTTTTATGTTTGATCTACTTTAGTGCTGAACAAAACTAAGATGGAATGACTATAAAACTAGAGCTGAGACGTTACGTTTGAGCATCAACATGCCTGCGTGGTTGTGATCACTACATCCTGCTGTGATGTCAGAGTGTACATGTCTAAGTTATAGGTACCTGCTATTAAGCAATCCACCAATCACAATTATTCCTAATCAGTTTGTGGAAGCAGACCATGAAGGGATGGTTTAATGAGATTTTGTAGTTTCCAAATTTAACTCACTGCTTGGCGCATCAATCAATTTACTGCATCACAACTGGTTGGAGCTACATGTGAAAGCAGGGGCCGGTTCTTCTGGCCTATCGGCCAATAGGTGAGGAGGGGGTTCACCCTTCACCTGTTGGCTCAGGTAAGATGTGAGTCAAAATTCAGAAGCTAATATGAGGATGCTAATGGAGATTACGATAAAAAGTTTACAGAAGTGATGCTATGTTATGTTGGGTTTTGGGTGTGAGCAGTGCTGTGGACTAACTGTTTTTAGAGGATAATAACGAGACCCTGTTGGACATAAAGACTGTTTTTGTTTCAGATGCTATTTTCTGGTAATCATGAGACTTTGAATGATCGGTTGGACATCACTTTACATTAACAAGTGGTTTGAGTCTACAGTTGTGATTGTTTCTATCAATTCTTCTGATTTGACACAAAATGTAATTTAGCACCCCAGGTACATAAACCCAACGGGCTTGAGGTCAACCAGACAGCAGCAGTACAGCACAAGCTAAATTGCACCTATAAAAAACTATTGTAGGATTAGGGTCTTGTGATCTTTACATCACAGGGTTAAAATGTGCAGGATTTCCAACATCATGCAGTGCTTATTACAACCATCAGGATGCTGCAAGGCCGCCCCCTAGAGGTTGTTCTGTTGCTGCTTTTTCTAACTGCACAAAAGGTTAAAACTTCAAATGAAATGTCTTTAACCAGCCATTTGTCTTAATCCTAGTCTGTAAAGTCTAATCTGAGCTGACTGGGTTTGAACTCACCTGTCAAAGCTGTAGGTTCCAGGATGGCTGATGGACCTCTTCATCTGTTGAGACAAAATGTGTTCAAGAACATTCAGAATGTGTTGATAATCTTAATCTCACTCTAGTTTTCCTAAATCTCAGGCTTCAGTGGTGCTGCTGTAGCTGGTTACCACTGTTGGAGCTGCGGATCTGGCCTTTGTGCATCACCACTTCTCACTGGGGAGGCAAAGACGGCCGCGATGGTCATGCCAGCTGTGTCTTAAAGGTATGTGGTAGGGTTGGGCGATTTGTATAATTTTACCCATCGCCAAACGTCAATCCAAGAAATGACAATGGGCAATGAAATCGTGCATGTGAGGTCATAATGAACGGACTGATTTGCGAACACAGAAGTCCAAGCACTGATTTTTTTAATAGAAGCGCAGTGCGTATGCTTGCTGGAAGAGAAATAGTGATTTATCTTTTTGTTTAATTTTGTATCTGTAGTTTGGTAAAGTGACGTATAAACGGCTCGTATTAAAAAGTGAAAGTGCTCATCTTTGTTTCCCTGTGGTGACAACCATCGTGGTATCTTATTTAAACCGTGTCGCTAAAGATAGGATTGGGTTCGATTTTTGCTGCGAGCCACTTCTGGGACGCAACCATTTCCACAGTTAGCATTGGGCTAGACAGGAAATCACATGGTTTCAGTGTAAAATCCCCAGTAGTTTTCTAAATAAAAGTCTAATGCAGCGATGCAATTCCATATCTCTGAAGACTACGTCAGTACAAGTGACCTCACAGCTTATTTAGTCCTTGCATCGTTCCAGATGTGCAGCAGTGTGTTTTTGTGGCTTTAATCCTGACAGTAGAGAGGAACAACATCATAAATGACATCAAACAGAGATATCAAGCGTAGGGTTGGGCATCGTTTGATTTTGAACGATTCCGATTCCAATTCCTATTCCTTGTTTCGATTCTGGTTCTAATCGATTCCCGATTCCGATTCTTTCAAGACATGACATGCTTTACATGAGCCAGCTAACCACAGGTCCTACTTGATGAAATAATCTTAACTTCAACATGAATTTTAATTATATGAACAATAACATCACCTTCATTTAGACAGAAACATGCTTTGGATAAAAAATAATAATAATAATACATTTTATTTAAAAGCGCCTTTCAGGACACCCAAGGTCACTTGACAGAAACACGTGATAAAATACAATAAAACAATAATAAAACCCAAACAAGAAAAAAAACAAAGAGAGAAAAAGTTCAATAAAATCAGAGGTTGTAGGCAGATTTAAACATATGTGTTTTGAGTTTTGTTTTGAGGAAAAGAAAAAGACTTGCAGCACAATCAGTGTGTTTGTTTCTGACCACAACCAAAGTGTGGAAGAAGCCTCTGGGATGAGAGGCTAAACGTCTCCAACATATCCAGAAACGTCCAGCTGTTTTCAGCTAAAACTCTCAGGATGATCATGTCCAGGATGAATGAGAACTACACCTCCATGCTGCAGCAGCATTCAGTCAGAACAGGAAGTAAAACTTAGGATGACAGCAGCTACATTTAACAGATTTTAAACATTAAAACTCTCAAAAGAAATAGTTCAGAAAGGAAATTAAAATGTTCACAATGTTGTGTGATCAGCTCTGAAAAGTGTTGATCACAATTTGCAGATCCTGTTTATTTTTCACGGAGATTGGCTGCGGATTCCTCTTTCGTCTGCATTCTAGGAATCAAAACTAGGAATCGAAATAAAAAACGTTGAGCGATTCCGGGAAAAATGAACAGTTGGAACCGGTTCCAATCGATGCTCGACGCCCAACCCTAATCCTAAGTGTGATTTCCTACTTTTTGATTCATTGGCAGATGGAATAAGGGACTTTGTGATCTCACAACTCATGCGTGAAGGATGACGGAAGTCTTTTGCAATTTGTGATGTTACAATGTTGACAATAATAATAACAGTCTTGTGTTTTTTTAAAAATTATATAATCTCTGTGGATTACCGTGGCCACGGTGTAGGCGCTGTGACCCTTACCAGCCACAGTTGCATCTGCTGAAGTTGCCACACATGCGCATTTTGTAGTTTACAACCAAAACTTTCTTGAAGCTGAAATGATGGCAGACGGAGGAGACTGCAACGTTCAGGACATCTATCAGCCCTCAAGGAAGACAAAGTCAAAACCATGAGTATTTTCTGGATATTTGAAGAATGCCGAGGGACAGTAGATAGAAGACGGCTATCCTGTTGGCAGCATGTGCAGGAAAAAGTGTCTGCGAAAGGCTGTTGACACCCCCATATTGAAATGACGTTATGCATTACAGGGCTCCCAGAAGGGGCAGATAAGAGCTGGTCGCCAATGCAATTGTTGACTCTCTAATAATGATTACTGCCTGATGACATTTTACCAAATCTCACCAGAAGGACACAAACCGAGGGCAACTATCCTGATGTAGAGGGTTTATTTAGTTTTCCAAACAAGTTTCTGGTGCTGTAATTAGTACATGTAATACCCTCGAAACGGCCAACAACTAGGGCTGCAACGATTCGTCGACAAATATCGACAATAGAAATAGTCGACAATGAATTTCATTGTCAACGTTGTCGCCAGACATGCTTTTTTCCGACCGAGAGAGGCATCTACTTCATTACAATCTCTGCCGAGAGTCGCACATGCGCAATAGCTTCTCTGCTGAGCGGCAGCCAACTAACAGAAATGGCAGCATCCAACACAGCAGCTACGCGCAGATGGGGGGGGGTGTCTGTACCCCCCAGATTTAGATTGACCCTGACCCCCCCCCCCACCCCCCCCCCCCCACACACACACACACACACACACACCTTTAAGGCATGAGAGAAAACTAAATCGGAGGTTAAGCGCTTGAAGCTTCTTTTTCTAATTACATTGAATGCAGCATGACGTAAACAAACACCGACTCCAGAAGCGCCAAAGTGGTTGCTGCTAGGATGCAGGATGAAGCGAAAAAGACAAGCAACAATAACTGCGTTTTAAAAAAAACACCAACAATGTAAGTAGGCGGGACCGATCAGTCCGTTTATGCATGTTGGTTATAGTTTCAGTACATTGTTGTCGGTGTTGGGACTTACTCGTTATAAGCGCCAAAGTCGCAGTATTGCGACAAACGTAATCATTGACTTTAACAAATTTACAAATATGATCCCTCATGAAGTTACTACTTTACACCAGAAGATAGTGGAGATGTGTCACCTTCAGGCTGAGCAAAGTTTGAGAGTTTTTAGTGTTTGAAAAATGCCTCCCGCCGAGAGGCTCCCAGTCGGGAGCCAACATGAAGGACAAATATGAGCGGGATAAAACTTATTATTGCCGGCAAGTCTGGTCTTTGTTGACTGATCACTTTGTTTGGTCATGACCGACTGATTATGAAGCAGATTATTGACTCTGATGAAGAAATCCACTCATCTTGACGCTGCTGCAGCGCGCATCATCAGACAGCTGGTGCTGCACGAGAGATGTGTGGAGGTTACAAGCTCCAAACGTTGGGTTTGATGTTTGTTTAACCTTCTCCGGGACATGATGGATGTAGAAATAATGGTAAAAACACTGCTAACGTGATAGAGGTGTGAATCTTCACTTGTCTCCCGATTCGATTACAATTATTGGGTCAACGATTCAATTCAATTCGATATCTCGATGCATCACGATTATTTCATATTGATTTGTTTTCATCGATAAATAGAAGATGTCAGATAATTGCTTTTTATTGTTATTTTTTTATCAAAAACGTATTTGACACAACCTGCCATCCCTCAAAAGCTCTCCATTCACAACAGGTTAGGACAAAACATTTAAACATTTAAGAAGATTTAACAAAGTAAAACAATCTGTTTCCTCGTTCAACACCACGCCTCAGGCTGAGAAAACACGCTTTACAAAAACTCACAAAATCTAAAGAAGTACTGAAAACCTACAGGACACATAATGTAATAATAAAATCCATAATGGGTTCATATATGAGTGTTTAATGTCTCTGAGCAGCTCTAGAGTCAAATATTTATGCCACAGTTGAAGGGTGTCAGAAATAACACCAAATGAAATGTTTGACTTAGTTTATTTTATTTGAACCCAGTGGTTCGTTTCTGACATGCTGGAGAATGAATCAAGTTCTGTTTGATGCAGAAAATAATAAAACATAAAACAAATTCTACACTTCCAATAATATTTAAGATGTGTGTTTTATTCTTTCTGATAATAACACCAGCAGAAGGCTGTGGGCTGGATTAGGATTAAATTACCCAGCTGATGGATCTCTTTCACTAACCAGCTAACTACAAACCTTTCCACCAACCTGTCCTGTGTGACCCTCACCCTTTAACCCTCATGTCCATGCTGTCTCTGGAGGAGCAGATAGGAGACAAGTCTCCTGTAACTTAAAATGAAACAAAGCTTCCTCCCAGCTTCTCTTTAAGCTGAATGTAACATCAGTTTATCATCATGAAACAAAAGAATAAAGTGGAACAAGAACTTCTATCTTCTATTTCTCTCTCCTTTTAACTTCTCCGTGTCCCTAAATAAAAGAGACAGACGATCACGCTGCAGCCGCCATCATTTACCCAGCCCCCCCCCCCACCCACCCCAAGGCCGGATCTCCCAGCATCACGACACTCGGTCTGACTGAGCGCTACGAGGAGAAATAATAATTAAATTATGAAAATATTAATGCGTGTTTGGAGCATCGGTTTGGAGGAGCATCATCCGATCCTCTCTCTTGTGTGAGCAGACAATGTCTCTCCCTCTCTCGGTTGCTGTGCGAGCGAGCAGAGCGCGCCGCGTGACTACCCGCTCAATTAACTTAATTCACGGTCCAAATCCAACAGAAACGGTCGGGCTGCTTCGGTTCCGGTTCGGTCTCAGGTTACAACTCTAGCGCTCAGCCCTGCAGTACCACATTAAGGCGGAACCACTTGGTAAATGTCACTCTGACAGCTTTGGATGATGTGCTGGTGCTGCTGTTAAAAAACAAAACTACATTCCACTATAATCGATTATGGCGTACTCTTCTACGATGTAGAATCGTTTATGTCCGCATCCCGATGCATCGATTATTTTCCTCAGCTCTACTGGACTCGTAGCATTAAGTTACAGTTGATGTTCGAAAATAATCCTCCTGTTTCTCCAATTGTGTTGTGACATTCACACTGAAATAGAGCTGGACAAACTGTACAGCCATCAATGTTTAGATGTGTTTAAGTGTCCAGTTAGGCTCATGCACACAGATTTCCGTGGTGGCCTGTGAGTGCAGTTTTGTTTCAGCTTTACATAACGTGACAGACGTAGCGACAATGTGAAAGAAATGCCGTAAAAAAGGGGCAGATGCGATGCGTTAGATATGGAAGTCAAAGTGTGCCACATAATCATAAAAAAAGTAAAATATCATATGTACAAACAGCTTTATCTATGTGTATATAAATTAAAACGTTCCAAATATAATGAAAATTTCTAAATAGCTTAAAAATAAGAAGTAACATGTGTAAAAATTATGCATTAAAATATGGCAGCCTGATGACATCATAATATGCAAATTAGATGAGTGAATTTGCTCAAGTGGTGCTTGCTGCAGAACCACAAAGGCGGAGCTGCACCAGAAGGTGGAGCTGCACCAGAGTCAGCCCCGCCCATTCCAGAATCAGCCCCGTCCATTCCATCAGAGTCAGTACAATTCCTTCCAGTTGTCAGACTTGATAGCATTCTGGAACCAAAGAGGGTTTTAAAGCTAAAAAATACAAGATTGAGGACGGAGGTGAGAAGTTAACTGAACAGTTTTTGTAAAGGTTCCATATAATTAAAAATCTAACTTTTGGAACTTTTTATCATGTTATATTGTCATTTCCTCATAAGAAACACGCCAAAGCCATTTTTGGCCTCATTCATGCATTTTCCTCCCATCTCAGCTTTAATTTGGTCTCCTCCCCTGAAGTGGGTCTGGTCTTGGTTCTCAAATCTGGATATTCTGTGAATTTTCTGACAAATTATTTCTGAAATGACTTCTACTGAGACACCGCCAATCAACCATACATCCCATCTCCAAAGACACACTGGATAGGACAATTACATGTAACGCCACTTACTTCATATCAGATGTGGTGGGGTAGAGGTTATGGAGGCAGGTTTGCATGTAGTTTTGGGCAGGTTCGACTCCCAGTGGCAGAAATATTAGGTAGATTACAACCCCTTTTCTTAATTTCTAGCTACACTTGCCAGTACTATGTTTACAACAATTTACTGGTATACCGTTTAACATATAATGTGTTTTTTTATTTATTTATTCGTTTATTTAGCCAGTGTGAGTCCATTTGTGAGCAGAGTTTCAACTAAAATGCTGTTTAGGAACGACCAAATTCAAAGAACTTTTAGAGACATAAATATTTTGCAGAAAATAAACATTACAACTAAAATATAAACAAATTCAATGTTTCAGCTGGCTAAATAGATTGATGCCGACCCCACCGAGAATCGAACCAGCATCAGCTGAGGGGGAAGCAAAATTTAATTCTGACAATCTTACCACTGGACTACCAGAGCACATATGACAGTCACTCATGCTGTTGCAGCACATTATTGTTAGAGCGGCTGTGGGCAGATATCTGCTAAAAGAAATCGTTTCATTTCAAGATGTATTCAGGCTTTGTCATGTAGCAAGTTATATTTATCTTGTTTAATTGGAGCATAGAACATAGCATTAACATTTGTAAACTAGTAACAGCCGTAATTCATGTGGGTCAGGTTAGTTTGCGATGAAGTTGGAAAACAAAAACGGAAGTCAGTGGACTAGGCTGAGTTTGCGTGAATGGGCGGGGCTGACCCTGGTGCAGCTCCACCTTATGGTGCAGCTCCGCCTTTGTGGTTCTGCAGCGAGCACCCTCTCAATTTGCTTCCGACACAAACTTTGGGTACTACTGAAGATATTTCTCTTCTATAGTTTAGCTTTATCTCTAACCATTTCCAAGCTACAACCTTTTGAAATAGTCATGTCAAAATTTAATATTTTCTTGTAAAAACTCTGGCGCCAGAAATTTTAAGTAAACCATAGTAACTCAGTCATTATTGTGGTAATGATCACACATGATAATGAGCAGGAGCAGAGGCAGCAGTAGCAGTAGCAGCAGGAGCAGAGGCAGCAGTAGCAGAGGGACAGGAGGGTGACATCCTAATGTCCTAACACAAAACCAAACCAACCCAACCGGACCTTAAAATTTTGCAAAAGCAAGTTCTCAAGGACCGTACTTTGTCATTCCAAAAAACATGGTATGAAAAGTATCCTTGGCTGCATGTTAGTCCAGATACTGATGGTGTTCTGCATTTTCAATGCTCTAAATACTACAGATGTGGAAAACCAACACAAGCTAAAAGCATAGACCCAGCTTTTGTAACTTCTGGATTTAAAAATTGGAAAAAAAAAATTAAAACATGAAAAATGTTCCTTCCATGAGAAATCAGCATGTCACAAAGTGGCTGTCACAACAGCTGCATATGAGAGCAGACCAGTTACCACACAGTTGAGTAGTGCAGCCAGGTCACAACAGGCAGAAAATAGAACAAGTCTTTTGAAAATCATAGGGGGTGAGATGTTCCTGGCCAGACGGGGAATTGCTTTGAGGGGGCATGATCATCGTCAAGGTAACCTTGACCAGCTTTTAAAATATAAAGCTGAAGACGATTCATCTTTCACAACGTGGTTGTCTGCAAAAAGGGGAGTATACACATCTTGGGATTGTCAAAATTAAATTAACAGTTTGATGAGTTCATGTATTATCAGGGAAATTTCAGATGAAGTCTGGTCCCTCCCAACATTACAGTACTCCATCATTATGGACAGGACAAGGGATATCTCAGGTGTGGAGCAGCAGGCCCTTTGTTTGCGTTATGTTGACCATGATTTGCTGGTACATGAAGAGTTTATTGGGTTGTACGAGACAACGTCTACAACCGGTGAAAATCTTGCCAGGATAATTTTTGATGTACTGTTGAGGTTGAATTTGCCAGTTTCAGGTCTTAGAGGTCAGGCATATGATGGTGCTTCAAATATGTCAGGAAAATACTCACGCACAGGCAGTTATTCAACGAGCACAGCCATTAGCACCATATGTACATTGTGGTGCTCGTGTAAATTTAGTTACACAACACGCTTGCTCAGCCTCCCCTGTTGTACGCAATGCACTTGACTGGATTTATGAGCTTGGCACATTTTTTGGTCAGTCTGGTAAGCTGAAAGACACATTTAAAGCCATTGCTATTTCTGAAGGGGAAGGCTCATTCCAGTCCATCAGACCTTTATGTCCCACAAGGTGGACTGTACGCTCACCTGCTATTCGTGCCATTCTTAGGCAATATGGGATAGTACTGGAGTCACGAGATCAGATGTCTACAAGTACCTCTGAATCTGCCAGTCGGGCAGAGGGCTTACATGCTCGACTGCAACAGGGTAATGTAGTACTGGGGCTTAGGCTTGCATTAGACGTGATCAGTGAATTAGAAATGCTGAATGCATCTCTCCAGAAAAACACACAGAAGATGGAAGGCATGCTCTCTGCAGTTTCCCTTGTCAAAAACAGTTTGAAATCAAAAAGAAACATTGAACACTTTGAGGTGATCTGATTTTAAAACTGTAACAAGATCTTCTGATTCTTTTCAAGCCAACTTCAGACCACATGGTGTTCTGCCCGATATCCCTCTAAAGGTCAGAAGCAGGAAGTAGCAGAAAGTATGTAGGAAATGAATGACCTTTTCTGGAGGTCGGAGATCAGGAGTCAGACTCTGGTTGGCCAGGCTCATGCACTCCTCCAATGTCCTGATGAACGTCTCACAGGTGGCGCTGAGCAGCGAGGCCTTAAGGGGACAGACAATGATTCATTTAAGGCTTCATATAAACAGAAACCATTACATGTTAAACTCAAATAAAAGTCCTGTTCTACAAAGATATGGATCCCCACACATTCCCTATGCCGCAGTGTTTCCCAACCCTGGTCCTCAGGGCACACTGACCTGCACATGTTCCATCTCTGCTTCAGCACACCTGATTTATATTGCCTCCTCAGGACATCAAGTGCTGCAGATGCCTGTTAATCACTCATTCATTTGAGCCAGGTGTGTGGCAGCAGGGAAATACAGGTGTTTAATAGGGCAACATGGAAAACATGCAGGACAGTGTGCCCTGAGGACCAGGGTTGGGAAACACTGGTCTCTCGTGGATTTACGTGAAGCTCGTTTTAGTCAGTTACATCAAAACATCAGATTCAGAGAGTTCCAATATGAGTTTTTAGGATTTTCTGACAAGTTCAAATAAAAACACTTCAACACTAAAGCTCTTTTAAAAGCTTGAAGATACCAAATTTAAAATATGAAGAATAATTAAACAATCTGAGATTATATTATCTTTTTGTTGATGTTGTTAATGGAACGGCGGTTTCACACTGAAAACATCAGCGGTGCGGAACATCAGCGGAACGCCACTACTTCAAATAAAATTAATTGTAGTCTATGGACTGTTTAGAGCGACGCGGCAATGTCCAGGCGTGTCCCGGAAGCGGCACGCCATGCCATGCCACCAAGGATAAGGATCTATTTTTGCAGCGAGCTGCTTCTGGGACACATACATTTTGCAGTTAACATCGGGCTATGCAGGAAATCAACCACGATTTCAGTGTAAAATCCCCAGTAATTTTCTAAATAAAAGTACTGCAGTGATGCTGTTTCATATTTATGAAGCTTAAGCGTGACCCAACCACTTATTTACTTACAGCATCATTCCAGAAGGGCAGCAGTGACATCAAACAACGATAACAAACGTGATTTTGTTCATTTTGGTTTAACGGTGGATTGCATAAACTAACCGTGACCTGAAGTCTCGAGGGAGTCCAACGAAGCTCACAGCGAAGAAGCCGTGCCGCTGCCAAGACTCTCCCGGTGTGAAAATTACCACTTTGACATTTGCGAGTAAACCGTTCTGCTGCCATTTCGCTCCACTGATGCTTCCAGTGTGAAACCGGGGTTAGGGTATTTCTAAGCGTGCTACTGACAGATGTCGCCATCAAGCCAAAAATTTAATTCATACAAAGAAATCAGAACACTTAAGTATACCAGTCGAGTCATAATAAAGTGAAATGAAACAGGAAATAATTATTGAACACACTTCAGTTAATACTTTGTAGAAAAGCCTTTGTTGGCGATTCCAGATTCCAGACCAGTGGTTCACAACCTTTTTCACAAGGACCCCCTTTCCTGTATCCAGGTCAACCAAGGCCCCTCCAACTAGGAGCTGCATGACTTAATTTTTTTTAAAGTCGACCGTCAAGTAATGAAAATCGAGTCGACTTCGACTAGTCGTTGATGACGTCATACACCTGAAGCGGCTAAAACTGACAATGGGTACCATGCGCTTTTTTCCGACGCATGGGGGAGGGTGGTTCGTTGGAGTTTTTGACAATTAAAATTGCGCCCACATTTTCAAAGTTAAACACATTTCTTTTAACAACGGTAGTTTCTGCTTCAGCCATCTCCCCCCTCCCCCTGCGCAGCGGCCGCAAACTCACTGATGCGCCCGCAGCCTCTCGGAGTTCCTGCTGCTCTAAACATTAAAATAATTATTTCATTTTCTGTTCCTCACTTCTGATGACCTTCAATGGTGTCTGTTTGTTGCAACAGCAGGTACAAAAACTAACTTGTTTTTATTTGACTATTTTTCTGTCCTGCCTGTTTATTATCTTCCTGCATCTCCTCTCAATCCTAAAGAAAAACTGCTACCTGGGTTCATATATATTCACCTTACCTTACCTTACCTTTGAACTGCAGTTCTAAAAGATCTACCGACCGCAAAAACAGCGGAGTGCGTGCTGCGCGCCGGCCACACCAGTGAGGGGAAATCATCGGAGGACCAAACAGGTCATGTGCCCCGCTCCACAGCAGCGAAACACATCAGGCACAATTAAAAGACAGAAAACATAAAAGGAAATGAGCCGACATGAACAATCGCGTGTTAAATTTGTTTTTGAGGTGGCGACACCTAATTTGATAATGTTACTGTGGCCGTGCTCAGGACGCAGCTGTCTGGGGCGCGTCAACGATCGGAGCTTTGCATGCGCAAACTGGTTAAGGTTAGGATGGGGGTGAGGGGAAGGTTAAAATGCAAGAGGGTAAACGTCACAATTCAGTCAAATGTCCGTTTTACAGTGGGCGACAGATACCGACGCTCTGGCACAGCTCATTGCTCATTGTTTCCTTGGACTTGTGTTTGGGACAGCAGTAGTTCAGGAGGAAGAGCGGGTTGTCCAGTAATCAGAAGGGTGCAGGTTTGATCCCGTTTCTGACCAGAGGATGCTGCTGTTGTGTCCTTGAGCAAGACACTTGCCTGGCGATGGTTGGAGACTGGAGGCGCCAGTTTTTGGCAAGCCTTGCCTCTGTCAGTGCGCCCCAGGGCTTCATCGTTGTTCATCACCGCCAGCGTGTGAATGGGTGAATGACTGATTGTGCTGTGAAGCGCCTTGGGGGATTGTAGAACCGCAAGAAGGCACTATACAAATACAGGACGCTTACCATCATTGTCTTGCAAAGAACCAACATCCCAACGGCTAGAAAATCAGTTCTCTGGTTGCGATACCACCTCTGAACACCAGAGTTTGCCTGAGTGTTCACTAGAATGTCCATGTTCCACATTCAACCTTTAACTGCTTCATGTCTTTCTGCTACATTTGGGTGTAATATATTTTGTGCTACTAGAGGGTGCAAGAGCGCCGCTGTCAAAATATGTTTACTGGGCAACCGCAGAAGAAGAGGCGAGCTCGTCACACGATCAAACAAATGTATTCAAAGATGAAGCGTTTGAGAAAAAGCACAGCGTGGGAGCACTTTATTCTTGGAACACAAAGAGCCCCACACCAAAGCACCGAGCCTGGCAGAACATGGCGCAGCAAACTGAACCTAGACCAGCAACTAAACAGGCCAGTCTGCCATGGCGCTCCTGCTCGCGTCTGACTCCTAACTTGTTTAGTATAATAAAGAAATGTCCGTGCAATTATTGGGTTAAATGTGAGGAAACTAAAGTGCTTTTAAAAGAGTGGCCTCCAGAATGTGTTGATAAGCAGCGCTGTGTATTTGATGCCTGAAGGACCAAACAGGTCCTGACGGACAATTCGGCTCTCCTCCCACTAACGCTACTTTTAGTTTATGAATGTTGTAACGAGTGTGGGACTTTGGTTGTGCATCAGAATTGTGTTAAAATCAGGAGTCGAAAAAGAGTTTGTATTATTTATAGAGAAGGGTTTGTGTTCATGTGTGTGTGTGGTGGTGGTGGAGGAGGAGTAGTTTACGATTAACGGAGTATTAACCATTAAGAGCTTCAACCAGTTTTGGAAAACATGCATCCCTATTAGGGCTAATGCAGCTGATACCATTGGTACTGAGAGGGGGCGGGGTTTCTCTCTCAATACTGACAGATTTCAGGTGATCACCTGGCTCTCTATGCCATTTTACACCTTATTATCTTCCTGTGTTTAATACTTTTCCCTTGTGTCTTTTCATTTATTACAACTCAGTTTATGGATGTTTAGATGTTTTTGCCTGAACTAAATGCTTGAGTTGACATTGACATGTGGTGGAAATTTGATGTCAATAGCCCACTTAGGAAAACCTGTACTAGTGAAAGTGCTGACGTGTCAAAAACGTATTCTCTCTGCTATAAAACATTATTTCAAGCACCCATTAGGACCATGAGTTTAACTGATACTGGGAATATTTAATAGTAGATAAACATGATGAGCGTGCCGTTTCTCTGAACTGAGTCTGTTTAAGAAGCTGCTAACAGGTAAGATGAGAACTATTTATAGCTTTTATAAGTAAGTAAGTAAATATTATTTACTTATCAGTCATCACAGAAAGAGAATCACAAAGCCCTTCACAGAGACGAACAAAACAAATCATTAATTTATAATTCAATTCCATTTTATTTATATAGCGCCAAATCACGACAAGAGTCATCTCAAGGCACCTCACATAGTAAACATTCCAATTCAGGTCAGTTCATTAAGCCAGTACTGAAAATTATACAGAAAATAAACATCAAATTAATTTTGTATGGCAGCTTTTTCTCGCAGGAAATGTTTAAACCACTTTACTGAGTGAAATGACTAATAGACTGTAGAAAATAGGGATGAGCGAGTACACCACTATCTGTATCTGGGCGTGGTTTAACTGGAAGTGGGTGGGGCTTCAATCGGTACATTATTTTAAGTCTGAAAGTGATATGGATTGATCAGAAGTTGCTTTATGCATTGTTTATTTGAAAACCATATACAGAGCAGCCTCAGAATTGGGATTCAATGTTTTTGATAACAATAGTAAAGGAACTATTAAAGATTAAGTTTTTCAATAAAATCAGAACATGAATATTGTCATGATTTGGTACTTTATAAATAAACTTGAATTGAATTTTAAAGAGCAAGTAACGCCTAAATTAACTTTTTTTGCTGATAACCTGTATAGATGAGTGTCTAATGATGCTGTACACATGTGTAATCATTAGTGTGGCAGTTTAGGGCAACTTACTTTAAATGTAATATTTCAGCCCAAAACTATAATTGTATCTCCATCTTCAGGTTAAATCTCTGCTCCACATTTATGTAGAACCAGCTGTGGTTGATGGCTAAGCTGAAAAACGTGACGTTGTCAGCAAATTACTACATGGCTGCACTGCATTGGTCTCCAGGTGAGGCAGCCGCACCTCCACCTGGCTCAGCCACTCACGTGCCGATTTGACAAATCGGCGCTCGGAGCCGCTCGCCTCCTTGAAAGAAATGCCCTCCTCCCCTTTTCATCTAATGATCGCGGTTAACAGGAAATCCTTCAGAATGCTGCAGAATGTGTGTCTGCTTTTCTGCTGAGCAGTAAGTCTTGTGTGAGTGCGTGCACGCCCGAGTGCACGTGCGCTTGTTAACGACTCGTTTTTTTGATTGAGAAAATCTGACAGCGCATGCGGGGGGGTTGCAGGGGGTTGGTCTATCCCTGCCTCAGAGCCGCTCTCTCGGTCCGCCAGGCGACGCTACTTTCAGAAGCGTTTTCCTAACAGGAAGTGTGGATGAAATACGTCTCCACCCAGGCCTTGACCCTCACTTTAAGTGCATGAATGAATAGAACTGAACTCATGCAGTAGGAAATATGATCTAGAACAAGACACAGCTTTTTTTATTTTACGATCAAACTGATTTTTTTCTAACATTCTTGGCATTTTTTCCCCACACAACATTAAACAAAACAAGGTGTGTGTGTGTGTGTGTGTGTGTGTGTGTGTGTGTGTGTGTGTGTGTGTGTGTGTGTGTGTGTCGGGGCACAACTACCTACTATCGGAGGGGTATGCAGACACATCCAGCTGCTGTTATTTGTTGTTGGTGTTTACTCTGATGACTTGATTATTATTATTATTCTGAGCTACTACAGCAATCAATTTCCCTCTGGGATTAATAAAGTATTTCTGAATTGAATTATATAGAAAGAAAATATATCTGCAGGGCTTTAGGTCCAGGACAGTTTTATACCTCAGACCCACTTTAGATCATAACCTGCTATTAATATTTTCACGTATTCCTTACACCAATCAGAATGTTCTGTAATGTTCACAGACATCCAAACCTTAGAAATTAAATAAAATCAATATTAAAATAAAAAAATGATTAATATTCTTTTTCATTAAAAATCAGTTATCTGTGAACACGTTTTTATATTTGACATCATCCAGTTTAAGCAAACATCTGCTTATTTCTAACAGAGCTGAGCTGTGGGAGAAAATATTCAGGCTAATTTAACTTTATTTTCCATCACCTGTGGGTTTAGTTTATTTACTTAATATTAATTATAAAACTATAAATAACAGGGGTCTCATTTAACAAACATTGTGTAGAATCCTTACTAAAACCGTACTTAAGCTCAGCAAAAAAAAAGTACTTACGCCAAGTAGGTTTGTGATCTATCAAACATGGAGTACGCACAGCTGCACGCAATCTCCGCTTCATAAATCAGAGACTAACGAGAATGTTTCTCAGCTGCTTTTTAAGTCACATCTCGCCCTCACCACGCCCACTTACTGCCATAAATAGTCAATGCAAAGTGCCTTGTGGATCTCATGCATATACATAAGCCGGCTGTAGGGTCAGGGTGTCAGGGTCTGACGTAGGGTCAGCGTGGGCCCCCACATTTCCTCAGCTATCACCGTTAGCACTGGCTCCCCCCAGGGCTGTGTACTGAGCCCCCTGCTCTTTACATTGTACACCCACGACTGTGCACCCGTTCATAACAGCAATATCATTGTGACATTTGCAGATGACACCACTGTGGTGGGGCTCATATCGGAGGGAGAAGAGGCTGCCTACAGGCACGAAGTGCAGCGGCTGACAGCGTGGTGCACAGAGAACAACCTGTTCCTGAACACAGCAAACACAAAAGAAATTGTTGTGGATTTTAGGAAAAAGAAAACTGATATCAGTCCACTTTTCATCAATGGGGACTGCGTGGAGAGGGTGTCTGATTTCCGCTTCCTGGGTGTACACATTACAGATGACCTGTCCTGGGGTGTGAATACAGCAGCGGTGGCAAAGAAGGCTCAGCAGAGACTTTATTTCCTGAGGGTCCTCAGGAAAAACAACATCTCACAAAATCTGCTGATCTCCTTCTATCGCTGTTCCATAGAGAGCATCTTGTGCTACTGCTTCTGCGCGTGGTTCTCTAGCTGCATATAAGCACAGAGCAAATCACTCCAAAGGATTGTGGAGACCACCCAGCAGATCTGGCTGTCGTTTGTCTTCTGTGGATGAACTTCACAGCTTTCGCTGCCTCAGGAGAGCGGAAAGCACCCTAAAAGATCCCTCACACCCTGCTCATGATTTGTTCCAACTACTGCCATCAGGCGAAAGATACAGGAGAATTAAAACGAGGACAGAAAGACTACACAGCAGCTTTTATCCTGTGGCTATCAGGGCACTGAATGGCAATTAACACCCCCACCCCAAATTCTTAATTCAATTTTATGTGCAATATATAATAAATGCTTTATCCGTACCGGACACTCGTCTGAAACGAGTATCCGGCTCATTCCTAGTAGAAAACACCTTTAGAAAGACCAGCAGGGCGGTCGATGAAGACCACTGATGAAGATGACAAGAAAATCTGGGAAAATATTTTAAAAGAAGTAGTGACTTTTTTAACGGCTCTAAATCGTGCCGCTGGGAGCTTAAAAAGCAGTAATTTGTTTCAACAGCCTGAAACTAAAACCACCACTAGTTCTCCAAACGTACCGATGAACAGAAACAAATAAAAATGGAACCAGTCAGTAAACACTTCCTGAGCTATCAGCTATTCTGTGTTTCATTAGACTCACAGCTTTTTGGGGTAGATATAAACGTACCTCAGAAGTGGGCGTGGTCTCTGTCTCTTCAGAGTGCTGTGATTGGATGGTCTGGACCTGCTGGACGAGGAGGTCACAGTACAGACGTAGTTCTGACATCTTTGTCTTCAGACAGTCTGGACCTAAAACCAGAGCAGCAGAGGTTCTGGTATTCTACTGAATAACACATAAAAGCTAACGCGAACGCCCTAAACACTGTGGCTAAAAACTAACTCTCCGTTTACCTTTGTGTTTGTGGCTTTCCAGTGTTCCAGCTTTAGATGATCCCAATGCTACCAACCACCTCTGTCTCTCTGCGGCGTTAACGGCCCGCACGTAGAAATGCTGCTCGCCAGGGATGATCAGCTCCAGGCGTGTCGAGTCCGTGGGATGAACTGAAATACAAAACACGAGTGGCGTGTCACGGGTGTGTTCATCTTTACCGCAGAATTCCTGAGACGTGTGCACAACCTTTGATGTCACACACAGACATCTTAATGGATCCTTTGCTGCCTTTGCCCACATCGTCCTCCGTGTCATAGTACGAAATGACTCCGTTCTCCAGGACGAACCAGCGAGGCTGCCAGCCTGATGAAACACGTTGAGCAGCATGGTTTCAGAATTGAAACGGTGATGTGGTCCGTCTAAAATTGATCCAATTTAGATTTTTTTGCCATTTTGTCACAAAGTTTTCACAAAACCATGTCCATGTCTGGTGTTTGTTTCATCCTAATGGCCCTTTGGTGGTTTTTAAACTTGGTGTTCTTGTATGAATGTGGGGTCTGATTTATCTTAAATGTGGCTTAGCACGAAGCCCCGTCAAAAGAGAATTCCTGTCAGCTCAGTCAGTCTCTGTTTCAACTCCTTGCTGGATTGACTGATGACACAAAGAAAGACGGTGGTTGTGAAGAAGAAAGGATGTGCTGCCCAACTCTAGCAATGTGTATCTGATAAAGTGACGACTGAGTGTATCTGTATAATTAAATATTATGTAAATTATGAGGCAAGGTAAAGTTCTAAAATAAAGAGAGCTCAATCTGCTTTTGATCCAAATGTAATTGAGCTGACGTGTGTGTGTTCTACTTGACTCAGTAGGGCTAAACAAAGGAGAAGATTAAAATAATCAAATACCAAAGAGAAAGAAAAAAGATGGGAGACGTTTTTGTGAACATGAACACACAATAATATAAACCCTGATTCATTCCCTCAACAGCAGATAAAGGACCTGGTGGTGTCGTTATTTTGATTTAAAAGCTGTGACTTAGATGATTTTATTACAGGTAAGTTTTCTGTTTAAATGAGTCAAGATCAACATGCTCCTTGGATTTTAACTGATAATTTGGGTTTCAGTCTTGATTTCACAGGATTAACAACAACGAGGCCATTAACCCATGGATATGCAAAGGACCCCGTTACCCGTGCAACGTGTTCGTATATGTAAATTAACTTGAGGCGTATGCATACATGACTAACATTAAAATGAACCCGTTAAAACGAAACGACGCTGTCATTCTTCAGGCAGTTTTCACACAAATGTTGAATCCTGGTAAAAACACAGCAGCTAGCATTAGCTCACAGCGAAGTGGCTGAAAGGTCACAGAGACAGAAATTCAGGAGAAACCTGTGGAACCGACCACCAACCTGTCATGTAATTAGTCCACTTGTACAAAATCCCCTCCATGTTTTCTTTAAATGTCGGCTAACGCAGCTAGCCTGTTAGCTTCCCGCCGACGGTCACCGTCTCCACGACGAAACGCGTTCAAACTAACGGTCATGAGGGACCGCCGCTCGTCTCCACAACTGTGAACCGGTTAGGAGACACTGGGTGGAGGAGTTCGAGGAGTAAACCCTGGCTGTCTCTGCTCAGAGGTTCAGCGGAGAGTCAGCTGAGAGAAAAATATCAACAAACCACAGCTTCTGTACGGAAACCTGCAAGGGACATTTCACACGTTTAACAGAGTTCTGTCAAAACTCCCCAAAATACTGATGCAACTGTAAAACCCATGCTGTGTGACGATTTTAATTATTACGTTTTACAGCAAAATTATTTTGTTGACATAAAAGTAAATGAAAAAATTTAAACTAAACAAATGCAGATTTTTCAAGTTTTGTTTTCAATTTTCCAGTTTATTTGGCAGCAGTGGGAACTACATTTAAACTTTATAATTACACGTTTATAAGATTCTGTAGCTAAATTGTGTTAAATAAAGCGTATTATAATATTATTAAATCCGTTTTTACTACTGATAAGCATCAAGATTAGTAATTGATGATCGCAAAATGTTTTAAAGTAATCAGAAATGGTTAATTCAGATAATAAGTACAGAAGGTTTGTACATTTTGTTACATTTTTCTGTAATTTCTTATGCAAATAGTTGGAATCAATAATTGTACTAAATTATAATTACAAAACACTAAATAAAATTAAACAAATATATGGAAAATGTTTAACTCTGATTAAAATTGATCTAATATATTGTAATACATTTAAATATCACAGTAAAATCTTTACCATAGATTTGTATAATTTTATTTTGGGTTTTATGCAGGAAAAAAACTGAGGATCAGTATCTTGTAATAATAAGTATTTTTCTCATTTAAACTAGATTTATCTCACATGTTAAAGTTTGTCGTTATTACAAAGTACTGATCCTTAATTTCTTCCAGCACTGATCGTAGTACGCTTCCATATTTAACAACTAGAACATATCTTTTAATTTTCTACAGTGCATTATGGGAAGACGTCATTAAAAGTTTCAAAAAGGTTGTTACGACCAGGGATGGCTTTAAAATGAAGGACAAGTCGTATCACAGAGGCATGCAGGTTGTTAAATTTAATTCGTTTTTATTATAAATAAGAATTTTAAAACACAAACTCTATTCCTAAAAGGTCAATTAACAGTGATTAAAGGCTAGTGGTGACATGCATCAGACATCTAAAACACAAGGTTCACTGACCATACTCTCAAAATTTGGAGCACAAGAGGGAGCCAGCACCTTGTTGAATCAATGCCACATAGAATTAAGGCAGTTCTGAAGGCCAAAGGGGGTCAAACACTGTAGAAGTATGGTGTTCCTAATAATGCTTTCGGTGAGTGTGTGTTATTTGTGTTTCCTTCATCTCTGTACTTTTATAATCATATTGCATAAAAAAAATCCTAAATATTTTTGAATAATAACAGAAACAATATCAGGTTTATAACATTCTCACCTCATCTTTATGATTAGTGGAAAAATAAGTTTATTCATAAGAGAAAAAAAGCTAATCATTTTTAATAATGTCTCCATGGTGAAAGAACCCATTTAAAAATACACTCTTAGCATTGTTCTGACATATGAAAGGAACAAAGGTTTTTTTTTTAAACAGGCAGAATATGTTTGTGTTTATTCTGAGATCATTTTCAGGAACCTGCTGAGGATGAGCACTTTGTGCAGCAGCATCTATAACGAGCTCCGTCTGGAGGACACGCTCTGTGACACTGTGATCAGAGCGGGGGGGGGGGGGGGGTGCTGGACTTCAAAGTTCACCGGCTCATCCTCTGTGGATGCAGCTCATACTTCAGGTAAACATGGATCCAGCCTCTACACGGCCACAGCTGTAAACAACCTCTTTAATGCATTTCTGATCTTCTGGAAACAAAGGGTCTAGGGGCAAACTTTTAACATTTGGTCATTTTGCTGCATGTTTGACTTCGTGAGGACAACTTAGGTGTTGTTTTCCCAAGTTATAATAAAAATATTAATCATAGCTCTGTTTAACCCGTTTCTATTCGTTCCCCACTTGGGAACTACTGTTTCACACGTTATGTTGACAGTTTTTATGTTGCAACTCTCTTTTCTGCGTGGAGTCCTGAGAACTTCATAAATGTTTAATATATACACTTTTGACTTTATGCTTACTGTAGAAACGTTTTCCAACAGAGTACTCTTCTGCATTAAACCAGCATCACAGCAGCAGGTCTACAGCTTCCCAGGTGTGTCACCAAATGGGATGCAGCTCATTTTAGATTACGCCTACACCGGCTCTGTGACGGTGACAGAAGACAACGTGATGGAGTTGTTCGAAGGTGCAGAGCTCTTTGGTATCCAGGACATCGTTCAGTCCTGCTGCAGCCTCCTGTTGCAGAAGCTTTGCTCCAGGAACTGCATCAGCATCTGGAAGTTGGCAGAGCAATACAACTATACCGAGCTGAGGGACAAGGCCTTCCTCTACATGTTGTATCACTTTGAGGACATAGCTGGATACTCTGCAGAGTTCCTGCTGCTCTCTGGGGAGCAGCTGGCAGACATCATTGGGAGGGACGAGCTGCATGTGAAGCAGGAGAGTGCTGTATTTCAGGCAGTCCTGCGCTGGGTCAACTTTGCTCCAGAGAAACACAGGGATCACATGACCATACTGATGAGTAAGGCAAGTGAAGCAGGGCATCTAAAGGCTTCAGATCTGAGCAAAATGCTTCATTATCTCCTGCTGTTGAACATTTTCTGATGAGATCAGTTGCGGTAAAACGTCCATCTCCTTGTTTTTGTTAAGGTCCGCCTGCTCCTGATGCCTCTTGACTACTTGTTAGACACTGAGACTAAAGTGGAACAGGTGAAGAACAACCGGCAGTGTTTGAACATGGTGATCCACACCATAAAGGTTCGTCGTGAGTCCAACACAAACCGCTCACAACTCCGAACCCGTCTGCCCTCTCACGTGCTGCCAGCCTTTGGAGGGATTGACAACAACCATACTACTGACAAGACTGAGCTGTACGATGTACGGAGTGGCTACTGGAGGACAGTGTTCAGGAGTGACAAGGCCTTACCAGAGTCCTCCAGTTGTGTTTACCTCAATGGAAGCATTTACTATATTGGTGGCTGTGAAAATAACTCCTACTTATCCAGTGTGCAGAGGTTCTGCCTTGCAACCAAAACTTGGCAGGAGGTTGGGTCGATGCACAAAGGTCGGTGCTCCTTCAGCGTAGTAGTGCTGAATTGATTCATTTATAGTATGGGGGGAATGAATTACCAGGGGACGCTCAGCTCTGCAGAACGTTTTGAGCCTGAGACCAACCAGTGGTCTATGATAGAACCGATGTACGAGTCCAGGGCCGATGCCGGGTCTGCAACTCTACATGGGGAGGTAGGTGGAGAGTCAGTGTTGGTGGAAAAACCTTTAACAGCAGCTGGAATGCTTGAGTTTGTTGGTCTTGTGTGTTTTGGACAAAATCAAGGATGATGTTTGGTAGAAAACCCAATATGGTTGATTACAAGTAAAGAACAGATTCAGAGTCTGTCACATCTACAAATGTTTCACATTGGTTCCCAGGTGTATGTTTGTGGGGGACGTCTGAGTGATGGATTCTTGTCTTCTGTTGAGTGCTACAACCCTAACAACAACCAGTGGATGCTGATTACACCCATGACTTCCCCACGGGCTGCAGTGGGAGTCATTAGCTACAAGGACCATCTCTATGTAGTAAGAACTGGAAACAAAGTGTTAAAAACAAAACATACAGAAACCACAGCATAGTTTCTGCTTTAGGTTTAATGGCTTTCTTCTCCCAGATTGGTGGCTACAATAGCATCACCTATGTGTCCACTGTTGAGGTCTATGATCCTCTGCTCAAAAGTTGGGAAACAGCAAGTTCAATGATCCATCCTCGCTGCAACTTTGGGATTGCAGTGCTGGAGGATCAGCTGTTTGTGGTAGGAGGCGTCCATAAAAACGGCACAAGCTCAGTGGAGCTCTACGATGGGACAATTGACAGCTGGCAGCCGGTTCAGGACCTGGAGGCTCCTCGCTTTGCTGTTGGCTGTTGTGTGGTGGAGCGACAGCCTGACACGGCCTGTTTTCTGTTGTGAACTCACCATCTACTATTGAATAAATAAACAAATACATCTGTGAAGGACAACTGGGTTTTCAGCTTGAATGTTACCATACACCTTTAGGGAAATGAACTTCTAAAGTTTCTATGACTCACCAGGCGCCTTGTTTAACTCCTGTTTCAGAACTTTCTTTCTACCAACTTGTTTGATCTCTCTTTTTGTTTCCTGAAATCTATAAAAACAAATAATGCATTCAGTTACAAGACTTTTGGGCCTCAAATGCATCTTTGGCAGAAAAGACATCTTAATTCAGTCTATTTTTCAGAATTCTTATTCTCTCTTTATTGCATTAGAACATACATTTCTCATATATCTATATATATATTTATTTATTTTATAAATGTGAATTTGTACACTACAATCTTTTCTTGTAACATTTTAGAAAATACTCAGAACGCTTCAAAAACATAGCACTAAAAACAGTTACCAAACAATGATTATTACATCTGTTTTGTGTGTGGTTTGGCCCACTGAGAACGCAACAATACGATGATGGACCTGCGACTGTGGATCAGGAGGAGAGGAGAGGACCACAGCTCCAGACACATCATCTATAGCCACAAATTCTTAAAAATAACCTGAACAGGTACAGATATGACACTGATAAAGCATGAATGCACGGCAAAATGAAATAACGTAATTGAGCCTGAGCCACAAGAATCCCATTTACACTTGGTATTAACAAGCAACTGAAATGTCTCTGAAAGACGCCAAAATTAATTCCAACCACCACTTTGTAATAATCTAAAGAAAATGTGGTTTTTTATGATTGAAATGAATACAGAGTTTAAAAAAGCACAAAGGCCAGTGGAAATGTTAAAACTGCTGTCAGTGACTCATAACCACATACCAGAAGGACAACGCCAGTGTCGCAAACAAAATGAAGTAAGGATGCTTCTATGCTTATGCATCCTAAACTGTATCATGATGAGTTTCTAATAAATAATCTCACCATGACCCACAGACAGAGCTCGGCTGTGGGGCGGAATCGACACTTGTCTTTCAAACTCTGAACATAGTTAGACAGCAATAGGACCAATCAGAGCAACGAACAACGAGACATATTCATGGAAATCAGTCAACTCTGCCATTCACCTTAGATGGAAGAGCAGAAAAAACCAATACAACCTTTTT